TAAGAATGATAGCTTGTGCACATGGATATAAAGCTATTAAAATGTCTGTTTCTCTTGTGCCAAACTCCAAGGAAGAACCAGAAATAGTCTTTTTTCCACTCACATTACATCATTGTCATACTTCACAACCTGGCTTATTCTTCCTCCTGTGCAACACTGGCAATCTCTAGCCAGGAAATGGTGTGGTCAAATGACTGTGGTGAAGTAGAGGATATACAAATAAATGTAGATGCTATTTATGAAGCATGTGTGTACTTATGCACATCATTCAAGCTTGACTTACTGTTTGTCAACTCAAACATATCGTTTACTTGAGGAAAGACCACAGTACAGATCTATGTTATTGTACAAGGTCTAATTACATGTTTATTTTTAAGAGTCACATTGGATGGCGAAAAGAAGCTAAAAGATTGCTGCTGGTGATGACAGATCAGACATCTCATCTTGCTCTTGATAGCAAATTGGCAGGCATAGTGGTGCCGAATGACGGAAACTGCCATCTGAGAAACAATGTCTACGTCAAATCAACAACCATGGTAATGTAGCAATAGCTCCTTCCTAGATGTGACTCTTTGGGTTAGAGTACAAGCTGAAATTGGCAATTCAGCTGTTCTTGTTCAGGCACTATACATTTTTTTAAAAATGAAAGTGATACAAGAGCTTTGCTGTTTATGCAATTCAAGGAGTTTGAAAAGGGGTAGAAATGTCCTTTGCTTTGTTCAAATGGACTAGTTCCATAGGGTTGATATTTACAAACATGTTAAAAATGGCTAAAAGAAAACAAACAAAAAAAACCCAACACATGTAATTGGTCTGAGGAATCTTCATAGTATAATAAGTAGAAGCTAAGTAGAGACCAGGAATAAAACAAGTCAAGTTTTGTCTACTTTTGTACCTTGCTTCTTCCTCTGTATCTTTATGGAAATCTGCTTTTATATCTGAATTGCTTCCTGAGACTTAGTATAAGCTCTGAATCATAGAATTAAGTACAGTTTTTTAGTGTTACATGTTTCCCAGCATTAGTTAATTCTAGATATGAAAATGAACAACAAAGCATCATTTATTTCCGATGTTGACACCTATTTATACATTCCCCAATGTTAGAACAAAAGCTGTCAAAATCTCACAGTTCCTGAACCCTCCTGTCTCAGAAGTTTTTTTCCCAAGTTACCCTTAGACCAAAAGAAATACCTAACAGTTCTATTTGTTCAATAATGCAGTCCAAATACCTGCTTATTCACTAACAACTTAATAGCCAGTTTAAAAAAGATACATATGAATGAAATATTTAGATATTTGTTTATATCATTTTAGTAAATTACTTCTTTTTTTTTGTGACAGTACTGGGGTTTGAACTCACACTTGCTAGGCAGGTGCTGTACCACTTGTGCCGCCTGGCCAGCCTGGTTTTTGTGCTGGATATTTTCGAAATAGGGTCTTGTGAACTATTTCCCTAGACTGGCTTTGAATTGCCTTCCTCCTGATCTCTAACTCCTGAGTAGCTAGGATTATAGGTGTGAACCACCGGCACCCAACAGTAAATTACTTCTTAACGGAAACTTCCCAAACCTTGTAAACAGATTGGACAGCGCCACTCACATGTCCTATTCCTGATTTTTCATGTTGACAAGCTTGGCAAAGATATGATGTCATTTAGAAGAATAGAGTCAAATGTAATCTTAAATCCATGACCTACTTCTAGCTAGGTTTATGGGTACCTGAGAAATGCAATAGCTGTGTTTGTTTCCCTTGAAAGCTTAAAATATTTTGTGCAATCCTTGTGAGTGTGCTCTGGTACTCAAAGGCACTTTACACATGGTTTGGGAGCTACAGTATTAGAAGTATATATGTGATATTGAAATTGGTGTGGTTCCCATATATAAAATTCAAGTCAATCTCTGGTTAATCCAGACCACCCTACTAGACTTGTTGAAAATCAAGGGGAGGGGGAAATTATATTACTATATAAAACACGTTCAGCCGTGTTTAGTGTGTTTAAAACCTTCAGATTTGGATTTACTTCAATAATGTCTTTCTCCTTGTTAATTCTCATTTATGCAGCCTCGTTTCACTTTGTCAGACTCACCTACTTCTACTTAATTATTTCTTATCTATCCTTCTTTCTAGTTAACCTCTTTAAGTCTCTGGTAGTGTCCTAATTTGTTTATTGGGAGTAGAGGAGGAGACAGGATGAACCTCTCTGTTGAGAGACAAAGAGAAATGGTGTTTCCTCTAAGGAGAAATAACAACAACATAATTCTCAAAATGAATTATTCTTTGAAGTTTTGCCAAATCACTGAAGTCATCATCTCTCCATAAGTACATTTGAAAGGATGCTGTGCCTCATCTAGGGAGGATTCCCTGGGCGAAAATAAAATGCTGTCATAATTTAGAACTATATCATATCATAGAACCTTACAGAAATAAATGATAGTTTTGGTACAGTCTATCATACACTTCTTTTACCTTTTTTGGTCATTGTTCCACATATTTAAAGGAATGATCCTTACACATGTCACTAGTTTGATACATTAAGGAAACCAAAAAGGAACGTGCTTGTTAATAACTTAGAAGAATACTTTTATTTCGGTTATCTCAGGTCTGTTTTAAAGCATCCTCCTCCTAAGAATTTTCAATTCCCTCATTCCTAGGGACCTTTCCTTAAAACAAAAGATCCCTTGGCTATGCATTCATACAAACCAGATGTACTAGTGCTTTAAAACCTCCTATATCTAAGGCTACCTTGCCCTGACTCTTAGCACAGCTACCTGCCCATTTTTAAATGATCTCCATCCTCTTCTACTAGGCTAATAGGGAGGAATTTTTTTTTAATTTGTATGTGCTAGATAAGTAATTGAACAATCTGCTTCCTAGTTTTATTTTCAGCAGTCAATAACAGTAATGGTACAAAGTTCTTTGGTCCAAGATTCTAGTTCTTTTATTTATGCAATTAATAAGAAAACTTTTATTATTCTAAATTTCAGGGGACAGAGTTCCACTTGTTGTACACAGAGCTATTTCACAAAGGTCAAAATGAACTTCACACTAATAGCAACCATCGATATAAATATGCATTAACTGAAAGAACTATAGCCAGCCCTTGGAACACAGAATCCAATTTATTTGTATAGCAACTCTATAGAGTAAATAATTATTGCCCTTTCACAAACAGAAAGATTGAGGGTCAGAAAAGCTAAGTTAAAATTGCCTGAGAACAAACAGCTAAAAATTGATAAATTGCAGATCTGGTGTCAAATTCATCTTAATCTTATATAAAAAGATGTATTCTTAACCACTCTGTCACAGCATCTCTCAACTGAAAAGCAGAAGAAACAGAGAAATGATGGTCTTACTGTAATTTCTGTTTAACATTCTAATTGCAGTCAATCTATGGAAATATAAACCAGATGATTTGATTTATATAAAATGAGATATACTTTAAAATAGTTTCTCTTTAAAAATTGTTTATATTTGTACATGGCTGTTGGAATATGATGCTGTACCACTGAATAAATGCCATTTTCTAGATTAAATTTCAGTATAAGAACTCTGAGTAGTAGTGAAGCTTTATAATTTGCCTAATGACAGTTTAAAGTGTGTTATTCCTTCTACAGTGGTAGATGTTCATACAAAATTGTTACTGGTGCAGAAGATAGGTTATTAATACCAAGGGGTTAGAATTCCATCCTATCTCCCCACCCAGCTCCTCCAGGGTTATTCTGAACCTCGGTCAGAGCCCTCCCAGAAACCATTCACTCCACCCTTGGCAGAAGCCAAGACTAGCACAAAGCTCTTCAGTCACAATGAAGAGAGAGCAAGGAGCAAATATGTGGCAGTCATCCAGCGACCCTGATCAATGGGATTTCCAGATGTTGTATGATTCTCAGCCCTGAATAGAAAGCTCCCAACAGGCAAAATCCAGCTACATTTTCCCTGTATTTATGCCTGCATAGGGGATGTATTTACCAGTATTTCCTAGTTTAGGTTTGATGTTTCCCTTTCCTCATAGCTTTTCATGGGTTTCTTCAATCTTTCTCTCCTCTACCTCCTTAGAATTCCCTCCTGCTGGCCACTTTGGTCATTCCTTTCCCTGTAACCTCAGTGGACTAGACTGACTGTTGAGTGGTCAGCATCCTAGATGACTAAGCTAGAATTGCTGGAGGAGAATCAGCCATTCCTTGCGGATAAAAGTGGCCAGAACTGTTTGCGCCTCTTCTCATGCAACTTCATTTAGCCTGTACCTGACCTTAATTTTGCTATTTAGGAAGTTTTCTTTTTACCATGGATTACATTTAATTTTTCTAGAACTGCAGATAAAGAGATCTTACAAACATACTAAACTAATTTAATCCATAACTTTGCCATGTGAGTTAACAAACTTTTATAAAATTATTGCATTTATTTCAGTGCTTTTTTTTTTCTAAAAGGGATATTTTTGGTATTTTCAAAACCTGGGAGACATTTATAACTAACAATTGGTATCAGACAGAGTTCCATATATGGAGGTAATTGTAATCTTTTAGGACAGAAATTTGTTAATTATTTTTGCTAGTTTTTTACTTAGAAATAACCTCTTCAACTTCAAAAAGAGTTAAATATCTATTTTTCTGCTTCTCAGATTTTTGGGTCTTGGACACATACTAATAAAATGCTAATTCATGGAATACACTTTTATTCCAGGCAATGAATGCAGCTACAAAGTTTTAAGGCAATGTGCAGGCTTTTGAAAAATATCATTACATCTTTTGAGGCTTTAAAAGACTAACAAAAATCCCTTTTTCAGCTCCTCCTTACTGATCTATCTGCTTTAAATTGTAAACACCATGATAATATTTTTACAGTTATTTTATGAAAACTAATTTGAATGCTTTTCTATGTTCTCATAAAAGTAGCTAGGAAACAATCTCTGCAAACAATATCTAATTGAATTTATTTTTAATTGAAAACAAAAGTTGCATGTAAAATCACCAATAGCAGCTTACTGTTGCTTCTACAGTGCCTCTGGAATGGGATGAAATGAAAGTTAGGAAAGCTAGCACAATTAAATTCAAATTCAATGCAAAAACTTATGAACGGAATATGCTAATTAAGTGAGATGTTTCAGTCAAATCACATTTAAGCAGATTTTTGTTATTATCAAAAACTTACAAAAATTTTTAGCCCATGCTCTCCTTCAGAAAGTAGAATGTCATGGTTACAATTAATGCTGTTTGGGACAGGGGCCACAAATTCAAGCAGAGGGGATGCAGGAGTAGTAAATAAGACCTGTAAATTAAAGTACATCCAAGAATATACCTACCATATTTATTAGTGTCCTCCAATTGTCTATTCCTTTATAAAAACTGTCCTTTACTCAACAGTGATTTGTGTCCTTTAAATACCACCCAACATCCCAGGGAGCTAAAGAGGTTGCTAGAGAAGTTGTTTTGTAAATGAAAAAGTGGAGGTACTAAAGCATTGTACCTTGTCTCCTCCACAGCAGGGCCTGCAGCAAGTGCCAGGCAGTGTGACATTAGGACATGAACTCCTACTCATCATTAATTTGGACTTAGTGATTACAGAATGATAGGGAACAGCATTTACCCATTAGCTCACTTATCCCTGCCATAAATCTGAGAGGCAAATACTATTATGTATATCTGTTTTACACATACGGAAATTGGATCCCAGAATGTTTAAGATTACTGCCAAGTTACATAAAGTGTGTGGTCAACTTTCCATGACTACAATAAACACCTGAGACAATCAACTCATAAAGAGAAAAGGGTTATTTAGATTCATAGTTTTGAAAGTCACAGTTGATAATAGGTTGTCCCTTTGGCTTTGGGTCTGTGATCACACATCATGGAACAAAACCACTTACCTCGTGGCCAGGGAGAGTAAAAGAGCAAAAAAAAAGGGACCAGAGTTCTACCATCTCCTCAAAGGACACATTCCCAATGACCTGAAAACCTTTCACTACATTCCACCTCTTATAGGTTCCACCACCTCCCAGTAGCTTTGAAGACTGGGGACCCACTCTCCCATACACGGGCCTTTAGGGGACATTTAGTACATGGGTTGGAATTGCAGAGCCAGCAGATCAAGTCCCAGGTGATCTGTATCCAGAGCCCCTGTTCTCGGTTTGATTCTTAGCTGGAGTGATTTTCCCCTCTTGAGAACATTTTCAGGCACAGAGACTAATTGGGTTTCCACAGCTAAGGGAAAGAAATGCTACCTTCTAGTGATTAAACTTCCTGGACCACACAGGGCATTCCTTACAACAAGGACTATCCAGCCCACAATGTCAGTAGCACTGCCTTTGAGAAACCCTAGTTTATGCACTTACCACTGTACCACCATGTAGTTAAAAACGAAGCTATTGGGACAGATGTGGACTGACAAAATATACTAAAGTTTCCACCTCTAAATAAATCTCTGCTATCTGATTGCTCCCATGTTATCTGTCTCTTTCCTCTAAAAATTGAGCTTAAACTGTTGGTGCTTTTAAAATACCTTCTTACGGGTGGGGAGAGAGGAGAATGATGGAGGAGTGAATTCAAATACAATATATTGTAAGAAATTTTGTAAATGTCACAGTATACCCCCAGTACAACAATAATATAATAATAATAAATACTGCTTATAATATTTAATACTACAAATTCTAAATTATCCTTTTTGACTAATTTTACTTAAGATGACGAGAAACTTAAACACTTCTCTTTTGTCCACCCAGATATACATGCTATTAGAATTCCACCATACATCTCTGCACAATTATCTCTTTAGCTGAAATTTCTTCCAATGAATCTTTCTTCTTCCTCTTTCTTTCTGACATTTATAAGTTACTTCTCACAGCCTTAATTACTTAGCAGCTGTCCAGGCAGACTGCTTTCCTTTCTCCCTTTTGCCTCTGAAATGCCAGTTATCTCTATTAATTATTTTCAGAGTTTAGAGAAATAATATGTAATGGGTAAGACAGAGGGGGTGGTTAAAGTTGAGAAGCAGTAATGTCATCAGCACAGTACAGCTGGCTGAGAGGGAGTGCCTTCTACTAGCAGAATAAAAAACATGAAAGATAACATGCTTAAAAGATGGTGTACTTCATGGAGGAAAGGGGAGGGGGTTTTGGAAAGGGCCATAAATTCATAGGTCTCTTGTCAACGGTGGTTTATTTAAACATCTGTTATACATTTGTAAGTTTTGAAAATCTGCCTCAAGGTACTTGGAGTTTTCTTTTAAACAGACTTCTCTCTAAGGTTCAAAAATGTGTTCTTTTAAGCTTAAAAAAAACTCTGACTAACCTTCTTAATGAGCTGCTGAACAAACTAGAGCATTCTAGATTTAAATTTTAAGCCAGGGAGGTCCATGTGCCTTCCTAGTTATGGAAGAGAAAAGAGATTTTAAACATTAAATTGCATAAATTTTCTACTGTTTTCCATTGATTTTGTATAATATAGTTAAAATATATGGATAAAAATTGTCTTAAAATATGAATGTTTTTAAAAATTAAGAAAAGTAAGTGCTTGGCTAGTCGTAATTATTTGTTGGAAAAGCAAAAATATTTGCAAAGCAGTTGTTGCCATTATAAGAATAGTCCCAGTACAGGTAGATTTCCCTTGTCTTTCTTTGTTCTCTCATTTAATTATGTTATGCAAACTGTTATAAATCTATTTTAAAATTACGTATTTTATCAGAAACAGGAATAAGACTTTCGCTGGCAAAATTTGTATTTTGAGGTTTTTTTCTTCTATTACTTTAAAATTACATTCTTAAGAATTGCTCTGGGCAGAAATTTTCTTATGCAAATAATGCTTTTCAAGCTTCTTCATAAATTGGTTTCATATCACACGTAAATGCAACTCATGAAAATTTGAATTGTTTCTACCACAATAAATGCAGACAATCTAGAAAGAAAAGAATATTTACTATGATTTTTCCTGAGGATTGAGTCCAGGGCCTTGTGTATGCTAACCATGCTTACCACTGAGCTATATCCTTATCCCTGATAGCATTTTTAAGCACAGTGCTGTGTGTCTTATTTCTGAACATGTTAATTTAAAACGTGGGTCATAGAACTGAGGTTATAAATGAAACTAGTTAATTTAGGTACTTTATTAGGTTCATGTAGTTGCCAAAATACAGGGATGTTAGCCAAGCTGATTTAGCAAGACTTTCCCTTGAAGAAAACATGGAGTGCTGGGGGGAGTAGCTCAAGAGGTAGAGTACCTGCCTAACAAGTGTGAAGCCTTGAGTTCAAGCCCCAGTGCCACCAAAAGAGAGAGAGAGGGAGAGAGGGAGAGAAGAAAACACAGAACTGAGGGCATGATTCAAGTGGGAGAGTGTTGAGTTTACTCCCCAGTACTACAAGAAAGAAAGGGAGGGAGGGAGAGAGGGGAAATACAATCAACATTGGACAGTGCAATGGGGAACAAAAACGATGAAGTAATTAGAACTTGAATCACAGATCCTAGTTAGGCTCGCTCACATAACACTTGTCTCATGCCATTAGGCATCAAAGAGCAGGCAGACTCCTGCACATGGACCTTATCACCTCTTTGAGAGATGTCTAGGTATGAATTTGTTACTTGATACAATCACTTTAATTCCTAGAAGAGTTTATAGAAAGAAAAAAAATAGGACCAACTATCTAACTTCAAATATCAATTTCTGAAGTTATCAGTTCACTCTCTCTCTCTCTCCCTTACCCTTATCCCTCCCTTATTGTCTATACCTCCCCATGTCTGTGTGCTAGGGATTGGACCTAGGGCCTCATATGTGCTAGGCAGGTACTCTACCACTGAGCTATATTTACATCTCTAAACTAAATTTTATTCCCTTCCACTGACTCATTCCTAGCCTTCTCACTACTACAAAGAATACTACAATTGGCTCTGCATAAATTTTATTTATCAAAGTAAAATAGGTTTATAATATATTATATGACAAAAAGAGTAAGTAAAAGAATAGTAAATTGAAAGATGTTTAAAGAATTTTGCTTCAGAATGTGATTGTCACTAATGTGTCTCAAGGATTTTTTGTGTTTTGACAACAAAATAAATTACTTTGGTTCAAAAATCTTAAAGTCACTTCAATTTTCCTTATTTTCTCAAGACAATCTATGGCCCACTTAAAATTAAGGAAAAACCAAACCCAACCAAAATGTTCTAGAATCTAGGAATTTGTAGATTTGCAACCACAAACAAATGCTTTATAATTCTAAAACACAAAGTTCCTTTATGTTCCATAATTATCATCATGGAGCATAGCTTTTATGTGCTGAAAAAATTAATAATGTGTGGACAGATAAAATTAAAACTTTACCACCAATATTTTAAAGTGGAAGCCATTTAGTCAGTATTGTGATTCTAGAAGAATGGAGTAGTAAATAGTCAATTAGCTGAGATGACCTCAATGATTTCATGAAAATAGTCACAACATTTATCTAAGAAGAATCAACACATTAAATTATCTTTTAATCCAGTGGTAATCTAAAGAGGTTCCAATCACTTTTTGTACTGCGCAAAATTTGGCCATCTTCATTTGTCTAAATTATAAGTTTTATGGAGTTTTGCCTGTCAAATACATTGACGTTGATTGTATATTTCAAAAGGATTTCAGTGGCAACTGTGTGCTATGGCTCACACTTGCAATTGCAGCTGAGGTCTGTAGGATTATGATCCAGGCCAGCCCAGACACAAATGCAAGACCCTATCTCAAAAATAACCCAAGCAAAAAGGGCTGACTGGGGGAGTGTCTCCAGCACCTGCCTAGTAAGTTCAAACACCAGGACTGCCAAGAAATTAAAAAAAAAAAAAAAAAAAGGAATTTCTATGCCTCTAGTAAAATCATAACCTTTCCCAAGTAGGTACATTGTTGCATAAATTACATGGTTTTCTGCAGAATAGATATTTGGATATGTATAGGATTGAGCAGCTAAATTTCACTCCCTTCTCTTTTTCATTACTCGCAGGAACATCCCTCGCTAGGCCAACTTTCAGAAAAGCTAGTAGACAACAACATTAATGTCATTTTTGCAGTTCAAGGAAAACAGTTTCATTGGTACAAGGTATGTTAATCCCCAAACCATAAAAATTTTATGTTTGATTTGGTGGTTATAATTAGAATACTTCTTAGAACCAGAGGTAAGAATTCTGGAATATACATTGCACAATCTAAATTGAATACTATATTAACTAAAATGTACTTTATGGTACCTTAAGTTAGTATTAAGGTATAAATTGTGGGCAATAATTGTCATTTGAGAATTATATTCTGTGTACATGGGCATAGCCTGATACTTAGGGTGGTACTGAATGTGACAGTACTAGGGAACACTTTTTCTCAGTTAAAAAGTATTTCACACTCAGTCTCTACACCTTTTATGTCCTGCTTATACTCTGATCCATGGGAATATCCTTATAATAAGCTATCAGTTTAATTTACAATAGCACTAGTATACCTCACTTAGACTTAGGTTGTACCAATAAAGGAACAAGAGGAGTCATAAAAGTGGCTAAACCAGCCAAAGCCTTTGTGCATAAGAATAATCTTGGTGGTGCCCAAAATCCTTTGAGGCAGGAGAGACTCACAGCAGAATAAACATTGTGCAACAGTGTCACACTAGGGGTGCATGGAACCCGCAACAGAGAACTGTCTGGCTGTTGTTTTCTTTCTGTCTTTGGAGGGCGGGGCGCGGGTCTCTATCTCAAGAAACTGTTTTTTCTTCATTTCCATGACTCTGTGATGCCCTCATTTTCGTCATCCATCACTCATCTTCCTCTCCTTTGACTAGCTTGGCTTTTTTCTACTACCCCTCTCAGTGGCCACTCTCCAGTGCCCTTTAGTCACTTCCTTATTCTTTAGAGGAATTACATTTTCTTTTGACTTCAACAAATACTTGAATTTGTTTGCATTTGCCATAGAGCAGGTGTTTCCTTTGTCAATTCATCTCATACCTAATTACTCTGTTTAACATCTGACAAAGTTACTTTAATCAGATCACTTCTTCCCTTAAAAATCTATAATGAGGCTTTATTTAATTCTCCAGTCTCTCAAATTTGTATGTCATGGAACCAGATATACCTTCAGAAGTAGGGCTGTAGCCCAAACTAAATGGCCCAAAACACGTTAATAATAACAGGAACTGTTTGCACTTACTAAGCACCTAACTATTGACAGACATTGAGTATAGAAACATTAATTCTTCTAGCCCTCTTAGCTACTCCTAACAATGAGGATAGCATACTTAATATGCCCACTTAAGAGGATGAGTACTCGCCCAGAGTTTTCTAACAACCCATATCTTGTGCTCTTAACCTCTAAGCTTCAGAGTTGACTTTCAAATATTGTGTAGCTTTTCAGAGCTTTTGCTTCCTCTTTCTCTGCTCCTTTTATTTCATCATAGCATTATTGGCTCTAGCATTTTCTCCCTGCTCTTTTGTAAATTTGTCTTTGACTTGTAAACTATAAAAACAGGTTTTTTATTAAGTGAATTATGTGCAGAGTGAAAATCATCAGGCTCCCAAAACCTGACCAACTCTACTGAGAGTGCTGTGTCTTGTCTTTGCAGCCACCTACTTGACTGTCCAATGATAAGGTTGTTTGGGTGGGGGACATTTGGGGAGTATTTTTTTCTCTGTGTGTGTGTGTGTGTGTGTGTGTGCGCGTGTGCTGTGGTTTGAACTCAAGGCCTCCTGCTTGCTAGGCAAGTGCTCTACCACTTGAGCCCTCGGCCCTTTTTTAGTTATTTTTCTGATGGTCTCCCATTTTTGCCAGAGGTTGGCCAGCCTCAAACCATGATCCTCTTGCTTTTACCTCCTAAATAGCTGGGATAGTTGTTCAATGAGGCTCCCACCTATGACTTTTTCTCCTATCTCATCCAAAATGTCCCAAAGGTCATTCCATAGAACAGTATTTATGTAAAATATTCACCTATAACACGAGAAAAGATTTTTGTAACTAAAGACATGGAAATGTTGCATTAAATAATATTAGATTTTTCCAAATTGTTATGGAAATAATTATTCCAAAATAATTATAAATTTTGGCCTACTCTGAATGTGTAAATGTGCATTTTGAGTCTCTAAGTGGAAGAAATGATTTGCAAAACGTCAACTTATTTTCCCTCAGAACCATTTTCACATTTAAAATACTTTGGGAAATGCTAGTCTAATTGGATTTTTAGCTCATCATGTAAAGCACAATGCACACACACTCACACACATATACACACCACCATTTCACAGGTATATGGGTTGGTAGCCGTCCTAGTTTGATTACATTTTTGTGTCATGTTTTTCATTCATATAATGACTCACATTACACTGATAACTACAAAATATTTAATATTTGCTGATTACTGAATGCTTGCATACTATTGTTATTATGTAAATATTACTGATATGTTTTATAGGACCTTCTACCCCTTTTACCTGGTACCATTGCTGGTGAAATACAGTCAAAGGCTGCAAACCTCAATAATTTGGTAGTAGAAGCTTATAAGGTATGTATATGTCATACACAATTTTTTCCAAATTAACTTTTAACCTCTGTTTTTGCGGGAAGGTACAAAATAGTGCTTTATCATCTTGAGAGGAGTGATAGAAAGAACATTAAGACTAGGGACTCATATAGGAACCAAGAGTTTAGCCATGACTCTACCATGAGCCACAATACTTCGGAAACTCACTTCAACTTTCTGTGCCTCATCATCTCATTGACCATTAACTAATAATACTGGGCCAGAGGCTATATAAATTTCTTCCCAAATCTAATGCTCAGTGGTTCACCAAGTCATGGCTGTAGAATATATTTTATTACCAAGAAGTTGCAAAGTTTCCTAAGTCATAAAGTAAGAAATGCATACTGTTATTTAAAACAACCTTCTGCCAGAGAAAATGAGCTATTTGAGATATACAGATTACTAAGAGGACATTGTGAACCTTCACAGATTGATCTCTGTGATCAATCATGTGTTTGATTAGTGAGTTATTTTAGCACTTTTCTCAAAACAGTTTGACTAAAAGAATCTCCTTAATAGATAAGAGTATTTTACTGAATTAATGGTTGTATGCTGTCATCAGTCCTGTGAACAGTGGATGACTGAAGGCAAAGAAACATCTGTTCTTTCAAACTGAATCATGCCTGGATGTAATAAGCATGGTTAAGATGTTGAAATAGTAGTTCTTTCATGCCTCTAAAAGCCAGGCACTTTCCATATATGACTTCATGGAATCCTCACACCTGATCTATAAGGCAGGTGTTAGTGCTCCCATTGCGTATTTGTAGGAATAGAGAAATGAGGTAAATTAACCAAAGGTCACACAGCTAATATGTAGAAGAAGCAGGATCAGAATCCAGATGTTCAACTTCAGGCCCCAGGTGCTTCCTGCTGTGATATCACCTGTTTTTCCTTTTTTTAAAAACACAGTGTCAAAAAAATATGCCTTAGTCTCCCTTGAATTTATGGGCCAGTTATGGTCTCACATCCCCAGTCCCCTGATTCTCTTTTCAACATGCAGAGCTTAATAGTGTAAGAGAGTAGCCAAAATGTGAAAAAACTTCAGGCCTCTTCTCTAATTGTCTTCAGGCAGTACCTGCCTTCAACTTGGGTACAAAAGGGAAAGGCAGGAAGTAGACACAGGATATGAAATGAAGAACCTGTTTAAACTTATTCTTTTAAAAAGAAAATAAACGTTGCTAGATTTGAATTTGCCAAGGATTTTTTTTCTGCCTGAAAACTACTTTTTATTGAAGTAAAAAAGAACACTTTTACAAAAGAAGGTTAGTACCAGGGAAACTTTTATATAAGAAAATCAAACATGTACACAATTCATTTCCATTGATAATGTTTCTAAGAATAAACACAAGAAAGTTCCCAAGAAAGAAAACTTCACTGGTAGGAATCACCTTGAGTTTTTATAGCACAAATTTTTTATTCTCCTAAGCAAGGTATACAAACCAATAAGTTTTACCATTGTGTCACACTGTACCAATGGAAAAGAAGGCAGCAGTATTCAGTGTCATGGTCTTTGGGTATGCCTTAGCCCATTGAGATCTTAATTAATCCTTCAATGGAAGAGTACTAGCAAATTCAACACTCTAGATAACTAATCTCCTTAAGTTCAGATTCTGTTATTATTTTTATGTGTCTGTATTTTCACAATTCTCCTGAAATTTCACTGCAGTCCAACAAAAATAATGAGCAATTCATTGGATAATTATATACCAAAAGATCTATTTGCTATTAAAATCTATTAGCTCAATATCTATTAGCTATTAAAAAGAGAAATTTAAGATTGGGTAAGAAGCTTAATTTCTAAATCCCAGAACTAGGAAGCGTTTTAGGTATTTGGTTTCACACATTACTTGAAAACCATTGACCTGTCCTAAAGTCTTAACAGAAGTAGAATTTCAGAGTAAGCTGAGAACACTCATAATATTAAATCCTTCTGATGTGATAAATTAGTGCACATCAACATGTGTATACCATTGGAAGTTTCTATTGATTTGCCAAAATTATTCAATTAATGGTTGCAGTGTATTAGCTCTCTGGAGATAAAATAAATGTATGGGCTGAAATAGTCTTGCCTAATCCAAATAATATTCATAAATTGGAGGAAAGTATCCGATTCTAAGGATATACAGCTAGAATTGCATGAATTATTAATCAGTAAGCATCTCTCTCTCTAAATGATTACTCTTAAAGACGTAAAATACTCAAGTAAAGAATAGAAACGACTAAAAATTTTTTCTTCATACATTGCCATATACTCTCTTTCTTTAGATACCTCATTTTACCCTTCCTTTTGTTTGTTTTGGAGGACAAAATGCACACACATGTGAAGGATATATTTAAAGTAGCTAGATCCTTTGGAACTCAAAGGTTGAGATGGGACAAAATTAGTGAGCACCTGATACATAATAGCCATTAAACGGGTGTTTGCTGAATGATTATATAAATGAATGAATAGTTTTCTTCCCCAAAAGAGACCTTAGTTTGCAATTACAACTTGAAAAAACAATTGATACAAGCAAGCTTTAGGGACTTTACAAAAATCCTGGGCCATTTTGGAGAATCTTAAAGGGCCATTTCTGTCAGGTCATTCTTGTGCCTACAGTGTAAACATAGTTTTCCAAACTGTACCTTTGAACTCAGTATCATTTGGGCACTTTAGCTTTCATGATAATCTAAAGTGTTTGAAATTAAAATGCTCCTTTAGTGCCTGTATACGTCAGAGGAACGTTCCACGTTTTGGGCCACGAAAATGTACCTTTTGTGATGTGTGTGCTCAATGCTGTATTTAAATTTTGTCATAAAATGTAAGTAGTATTGGATTTTAAAAGATTATATTTGCAACCCAGGCTAAGTGAAAAATATTTTCAAAATGACCAAAATTCAGTCATAGATATATGTAGAAAAATAGAACCATTTAAATGTAGACAATCTAATCAACTAGTACTTCTCACACATTTCAAATGTAATTGGTCATTATGTGGAAACACTGTTTGTATTCATCCTTTTATCCAGACTTTGATTAAGTTAAAAATTAAATCTAGAATGATTTAATAAGCTTGACTCTGCTTTGTTGCTTACATTTGAAACTAATATGGTGTGTCATTAAAATATTATGTCTCTGCAGAAACTCATTTCAGAAGTAAAAGTTCAGGTAGAAAACCAGGTACATGGTGTCGATTTTAACATTACTGCCATCTGTCCAGATGGGAACAGAAAACCAGGCGCTGTGGGATGTGGGAACGTGACAAGCAATGATGAAGTATGTGACTGTGTGTTTTTCTCATTTAAAATAAATTAAGTTGTTTGGCATGCTTTCTTACAGAAAAATCAAACCAGTCTCAAAAGCTTTACTTACTGCTGACTCCAAGAATCTTATTTATACTTCAAAGTAACTTTTTTTTGTCTCTTTTCAAGGTTGTTTTTGTTTTAACTCAATTGACTGTTCTTTCCTACTTTTAAAGTTAAAATAAGTATGTATTATATAAGATACTTACTGAGTATCAGTAACTTTAATCTTAGGTGTCACAACTTGTGTAGATGAGGAAGTCCTATCTCTTCAAAGAAGTGTTATCTCTATGATAACGATGATAATGCCTTTTGGTTTCAAATCTACTAATTATCAGAGTAAATGTGAAATTGTAAGTCATAAGCCGCAGAAAAGAATGAAGCAGTTGATAAATGCTTAGAATTTCAAAATCTTTCACTTTGCGATTGCCTCAATACACTTACAATGGGGTAGGGAATTGGTTAGGACCAATCCAAAAGGAGACGAGGCATCACTTATCTAGAAAGGGATAAGATGTTAAGAAGATAGACCCAGACTACAGCAGCAGTAGAACCTGAGGGCATAGGGATTCTACAAAGCCCACCCAACAGAGAAGCACATAGAACAGAACGTGCTGTTAAAAGGAGTCCTTGTAGATAAGTTGATTTTCATTGAGTCATTTACCTTTGGAGACATCAATTAACTGATTTTTAAATGAATTCTTGAACTAGAAGAGTTCTAATCATTCTTCCTTCTAACTCTAAAGTTAGAGTTATAATTTTATTAATTGTAAATCATAATTTTATTAATTTGCTATAATTTTATTAAGTACTTCAATGTCATGCTATCGAGAAAAAGATAAAAGATCCTAAGAGTCTAAGATTGAAAAAAGAGAACTTTCCATTTTTTTCCTCTTGGGAATTTAGAATCTGTGGACAGTGTGATTGTGCCTACAACATGTACATTTTAAACTGAGTTTTGCAAGTTTCTCATTCTGTAAATTCCTCTATAGTCGCTCCTTAGATTTTGTTCAAAAGAAATCATTTACTACTTTACAAAAGACATACTTGATGTCCATTAAATAGAGAGAAAACATTTTTTAGCAAATATAACACTAAATTACTTTCTGGGAAAAAAAAGTAGTGATTTCTTTCAAAAATCTAGTTTAGAAGAATGATTTTCCTTTTCACATTTTTTTCTTTCTTTGCCTACATTCCTTTTTTCCCTTTACTTTCAACCAATTCATATAAACAGTTTGACTCTGAGGAGTAATCATCTGACCTCTTAAATACATAAGCCCCAAGTTTTACTCTACTACTAGTAATGGCAGCGATCACATTACCATACACATCTGTCAGTCTTTAACATCCTAAAGGCAAAAATATTTTGAATATAATACCAACTGTATTGACTTGAATATTATAAAACTGATTCAAATTCCTAATTCATATATGTAAGCCTAAATTTAGGTTAGATCCTTTATATCACACAATAGAATTCTGAACCAAAAAGCCTCACAAGAATTATTATTAAAATATAATGAATTTCAGTCCAACATGATTAAGGGGAATGTATATCTATCTATCTGTCTGTCTGTCTATCTATCTTTCTATCTACAAGTCTTGTTAAATACAAAAGCACCCAAAGATGGCAAGGTGAGTCAACAAATATAAATAGACACATTACATCAATCATATTGCCTAAAAACAAGAAATGGAGAAAAAGGAAAAAGTTGGCAGAAGAAACAAACTACATAATTTCATGAAGGAAATCAGTCTTGCCATCTTGAGGTCCATTGTTCTGGATTAACTTCTCCTGCTAAAACAAATTATGTCTCTGCGTTGAGGTCCTAAGATTTGAGGACAAGAGTCCTAAGCCTCTTTCCTTGAGAAACATCCACTGATAGCTTTTATAAACTAAAATTTAACTCTGAAATTTTACTCTAACCTCTAGAAAATAGAAAAAAAAGAAGAAGAAAATTACTCATTTTGAACATGTCCACATTGATTGTAAACTAGGAGATCAGAAACCTATCACTTTGGTTTATCCATCCCCAGTGCCAAATATTCAATAACCTCACATTTTAAGGACTGAATCCAGGATTCACATTCTTAAGTTTTCTAAGAAATTAATCACCAAAGATGGTGTAGATACTTTAAATAGGGACATCTGCTTTACTTAATGCTGTAGCATAGTCAATTTGTAATCATTGGTCATTTCATTCTTTAATTCATTGATTAAGAAATAAATGATATAAAAAGTGAGTTTGCATCTACATACAAGATTGAGCAAGTATTTTATAAACACTGTTAATTTCCCCAGGATGGTATATTATCGATTTTCAACTATTATTAACAGGTATGACATTAGTAATAAAAATATAAAAAGACAGATAAATATATCTCCTTTTCCCTCTTAATTTTAGGTTCTTTTCAATGTAACAGTTACAATGAAAAATTGTGATGTCACAGGAGGAAAAACATATGCAATAATCAAACCAATTGGTTTCAATGAAACCACTAAAATTCATATACACAGAAGCTGCAGCTGTCAGTGTGAAGACCACAGAGGACCTGAAGGACAGTGTGTAGATGAAATTCTCCTAGATCCCAAGTGTGTGCAGTGTGAAGAGAGTAAGTGTCATTTTGATGAAGACCAATTTCCATCTGAGAGTTGCAAGTCACACAAGGATCAACCTATTTGCAGTGGTCGAGGAGTTTGTATATGTGGGAAGTGTTTGTGCCACAAAGCTAAGCATGGAAAAGTGTATGGGAAATACTGTGAAAAGGATGACTTTTCTTGTCCATATCACCATGGAGATATGTGTGCTGGTGAGTATAATATACATAGTTTCACTAATTGCAACTATAGTAGCTATATGTTAATGTGTCTTTAAGTCACATGTTATAAATTACCGCCACTCATTCTCAATTTAATGTTTACAGTAAGAAGAGAAATTAGATCATGGCAACATATCTGTAGCATATGATTTTAAAGTTTAAGTTTGTAGGATATACTTCAAAATAAAAACCTAAAATTAATTGTTTTCCTCACATATTCCTTGATCTAGGAAAGATTTATCTCAGAAAAGGAAATTACTAATAATGGCTGACACGTTTTCCAGAAGAATGAGGGTATTCTTCTATAAAGTCTGATTCATTCTGGCAAATGGTCACTCCCTCCAGCCTTTCAGAGGATTTTATTTCTGTCAGGATGAGGGGAAGTGAGCTATAAAAATATACTTTCATTCACTGGAAAATTCTTAATGCATCATTGTGGATGGTATTGTAAGTTTGCAGTAATTTAAACCTCCCCAGTTTATTTTTGGAGCACCAACAGCAACGGAATTGCCAAAGGACAGCATTCTTCAAGAAAATACTGGATCTGGTAATCTAGAAGATTAGTCCTGGTGGCCACACACAGACCAAATTGTAAAGTGAAATAAAATAAAAATATTAATTTTACTTTTGCCACCTACAGGTTAGAACCCAGAAAATCTAAGCAAGCTTTAAAAATTAAAACAAAATATCGTTTTAAAACAAATTAAATTACCTGTCATTTGAGTTCCTTGAGAGTTTTCCATGACAGTATAATAAATCAGTGAAAATAAAAACACCCTTTTAATACTTGCATTTTACTTTAAAAAATGCTAAATTATTGATGAATGGAAATATTTCATTGTCATAAAAGGATGGAAAGTATAAAAGCACAGAAAGTAAGAAAACTATAAAAATATTCTGCTCTGTGTAAGCTAAAAATTTGGCCTCTATTACATAAATATGCAATGGAAATTGTCTCTTTATTCTATTACATACATACTATATTTATCTAGCTATATCTGCAATTGGAGTAGGATAGATTATAAATGAGCCATTAGTTACTGTATTTTACAGGGAAAAGAAACATTATTTTACAGAGACAAGAAAGAATTTTCTGAGATTATTCTGTACAACTATCAATCTCTCAGAGCAGTTTATAATACATTGAGAGTTCCAGTCTCTGCAGAGAAATATCAGAAATGAATGTGCTGACCCTGTGTATATGATCCACAGGAATTGAGAATCCGCTCTGAATTGTTTGTGTATGAATGCATACCATAGGACTGACATGCATTTTCTCCACTACTCTCCTTTAGGAATAAAAACACATGCTCATAGGTCAGCTGGCTAGAATTCAGCATGCATGCTGCATAGGGAAATAGGATTTGGAAGACATTCCTTTGGCCTGGACCTCATTAGCTTTACACTTTGCAAACTAGCTGATCCAATAATAGAGACTATGAGACAGTTAACCTGTGAGGTGTGCAGCAATAAGAGACAGGAGAGAAGGAGTGAGAAAAAGAAAGAAAGAAAGAAAAGGTGAAAGGGAAGGATATAGGAGAAGAAAAGATTGATTGGTCTATAGTCAAATATGCTTGAGAAATGCTACAAAACCCTGTAAAATGTAACCCCCCTGAAGATTTCTAGTTCTCATTAACATATTAAAGTTTGGACACTTACAGTGTAAAATCTATTTAATTAATTAACCAATATTTCCTCAGTAGTGGGGCATCTTAGCTGTTTCTGTAGCTTGGCTATTGTGAATAGTGCTGCAATAAACATAGGCATGCAGAGGCCTTTGTTGTAATCTGACTCACATTCCTTCAGATGTGTCCCTAGGAATAGCATTGCTGGGTTGTATGGCAGATCTATTTCTAATTTTTGAGGAACCTCCATACTGTTTTCCATAGTGGTTATACTAGCTCACATTCCCACCAGCAGTAGAGGAGGGTTCCTTTTTCCCCTGCATCCTCACCAACATTTGTTGTTGTTGTTTTTGATGGTAGCTATTATAACAGAAATGAGGTGGAATCTTAATGTGGTTTTGATTTGTATGTCCTTTATGGCCAGGGATGGTAAGCATTTTTTCATGTGTTTTTTAGCCATTTGGACTTCTTCCTCGGAAAAGGCTCTGTTCAGTTCATTTGTCCATTTCTTTATTGGGTCATTAATTTTGGGGGAGTTTAGTTTTTTGAGCACCCTGTATATTCTGGTTATCAGTCCCTTGTCTAATGTATAGCTGGCAAAGGATTTCTCCCATTCTGTAGGTAACCTCTTCAATTTAGAAACCATTTCTTTTGTTGTACAAAAGCTTTTAATTTCATGTAGTCCCATTTGTCAATCCTTTCTCTTATTACTGAGCCAACTGAGTTCTACTGAGGAAGTCTTTGCATATGCTTATAGCTTCCAGTGTACTCCCTGTTCTTTCCTGTACTAGCTTCAAAGTTTCAGGTCTCATATTAAAGTGCTTAATCCACTGTGAGTTACACTTCTACAGGGTGACAAACATGGATCTAGTTTCAGTTTTCTGCAGACAGATATCCAGTTTTCCCAGCAACATTTGTTGAAGAGACTGTCTTTTCTCCATCATATGTTAATGACACCTTTGTCAAAAATCAGGCAGGCATAGCTGTGTGGCTTCATATCTGGGTCTTCTATTCTGTTCCACTGGTCTTCATGTCTGTTTTTGTGCCAGTACTATGCTGCTTTTATTGCTATGGCTCTGTAGTATAGTTTGAAGTCGGGTTGTGATACCTCCAGTGTTGTTCTTTTTGCTCAGTATTGTCTTGGCTATTTGTCGTCTTTTGTGCTTCCAACTGAACTTTAGGGTTGATTTTTCAATCTCTGATGAGTGTCATTGGGATTTTCATGGGAATTGCATTGAACATGTAGATTGCTTTTGGTAGTATAGACATTTTCACTATGTTGATTCTGCCAATCCGTGAGCACTGGAGATCTTTCCACCTTCTGTAGTCTTCTTCAATTTCTTTCTTCAGTGGTTTGTAGTTTTCCTTGTAGAGGCCATTCACATCCTTTGTTAAGTTTACTCCTAGGAATTTGATTTTTTGAGTCTATTGTAAATGGAATTGTTTTCCTATATCCTTTCTCAATCTGTTCACTGTTAGTGTATATGAGAGGCTACTGATTTTTGTAAATTGATTATGTATCCTGCTACTTTGCTGAAGCTGTTCATGGTGTCTAAGAGTTTTTTTGATCTTTTAGGCATAAGATCATGTTGTGTGCAAATAGGGATAGTTTGACTTATTCCTTACCTATTAGTATTCCTTTTATTTCTTTTTCCTGTCTTACTGCTTTGGCTAGGAAGACTATGTTGAATAGGAGTGGAGAGAGTAAGCACCTTTGTCTCATTACTGACTTTAGAGGAAATGGCTTCAGTTTTTCCCCATTAAGTATGATGTTGACTATAGCCTTGTCATACATAGCCTTTATTATGTTTAGGTACATTCATTTTATTCCTAGTTTCATCAGAGCTTTATCATGAAAGAATATTGAATTTTATCAAAGGCTTTTTCGGCATCCATGATTAAGTGGTTTTTGTCTTTGCTTCTATTAATATGCTATATTACATTTAATGATTTGTGTATGTGGAACCATCAACATCCTATTCCTGGAATGAAGCCAACTTGGTCATGGTATATTATTTTTTGTTATGCTGTTGAATTCAGTTTACCATTATTTTATTGAGGATTTTTGCATCTATGTTCATTGATGAGATTGACCTGTAATTCTCTTTTTATTGTAAACTTGTCCAATTTTGGGATGAGTATAAACTGGCTTCACAGATTGAGTTAGGCAGTGTTCCATCCCTTTCTATTTCATGGAAAAGTTTAAGAAATGCTGGTATTAGTTCTTCTTTAAAGGTCTCACAGAATTCAGTGGAGAATCCATCAGGTCTTGGACTTTTCTTTTTTGGGAGACTATTGTCAATTTCATTGTGTGTTATAGATATGTTTAGGTGATTAATATCCTGTTGGTTCAGTTTTAGATGGTCATAAGTATCTAGAAATTTGTTCATTTCTTCTAGGTTTTCCAATTTATTTGAATATAAGTCTTCAAAGTAGTCCCTAATGATTCCCTAGATTTCCTTGGTGTTTGTCATTATCTCCCCCTTTTCATTTCTGATTTCATTAGTTTGAGTCTTTTCCCTCCTCATTTTAGTCAGGTTTGTTAGGGGTTTGTCAAGCTTGTTTATTTTTTTTCAAAGAACCAGCTTTTTGTTTTGTTGATTCTTTGTATGGCTTATTTGGTCTTTATTTTATTGATTTTGGCCTTTAGTTTTATTATTTCTCTCCTGCTTGTTTTGGGTTTAGTTTGTTCTTGTTTTTCTAGGAGTTTGAAATGCAGCATTAAGTCATTTATTTGAGATCTTTCTATGTTGTTAATATATGCACTCATAGCTACAAACTTTCCTTTTAGGACTGCCTTTGCCGTGTCCCACAGGTTCTAATAGATTGTGTTTTCATTTTCACTAAATTCCAGGAACATTTTTCTTTTCTGCTTTATTTCTTCTATGACCCACTGATCATTGAGCAATGTGTTGTTCAACTTCCAATTGTTTGCATATTTTCTGCTGCTTCTTTTGTTATTGAGTTCTAGTTTGATTGCGTTGTGGTCAGACAGCATGCAGGGGGTTATTTCAACTTTCTTATATTTGTTGAGACTTGCTTTGTGCCCTAAGATCTGACCCATTTTGGAGAAAGTTTCATGGGCTGCTGAGAAGATTGTATGTTGTGCTGTTGCAGGATGGAATACTCTGTAGACAGCTGTCAGATCTATGGTGTCATTCAGTTCTGGAATTTCTTTGTTGATTTTTTGTCTGGATGACCTATCTATTGGTGATAGAGGAGTATTAAAGTCTCCCACTACCACTGTGTTAGGGTCTATCTGTGATTTTTAAGTCTATTAGTGTATGCTTAATGAAGTTGGATGCACTAACATTGGGCACATATAAGTTGATGGTTATTATTTCCTCTTGATGTATTACATTTCAGCTTCTTTATAGTTATGTGTTTTTAATTTAAGACTGACTTCATAATGACATTCAAATAATTTGACAGCCACCAAAGTAGCTTGATACTTGTTAGCACACTATATTAGTATGAGGCAGTTATATATAATACAAAACAATAGGTACGCCTAAATCCTGGCATTATTTCTGTCAGACAAGTAGAAAGTCTTCATTCACTTAACCATCAGTTTTGCCATAGTGATGGAGGAGGGAATCTGTATTTAGAATCTCTTTGTGAAGTCAATGGTGTGGGTAACATAGGCCATGTTGCATCTTGCTTACAGGTCACGGAGAGTGTGAAGCAGGCAGATGCCAATGCTTCAGTGGCTGGGAAGGGGATCGGTGCCAGTGCCCATCAGCATCAGCCCAGCATTGTGTCAATCCCAAGGGGCAGGTGTGCAGTGGAAGAGGCACATGTGTGTGTGGCAGATGTGAATGCACTGATCCCAGGAGCATCGGGCGTTTCTGTGAACACTGCCCCACCTGTCACACAGGCTGCAGTGAAAACTGGTATGGCTCTCTTGTCTCCAGAACATATAAAACAGTTCTTTATTCTGTCTTTCTGCACCTTAATAGTTGCCAGATAAATTGCTACTATTATGCAAAAAAAAAAAAATGGAATGGGTAATCTCTGGCCACTAGGTAGCTGTGGAAAAATCAGAATAAATCCAGATGTTCATTGCCTTAGTTTTTTTAAAAATAAATTTCTGAAAACAGAATAGTCACTTGTATGATGAAGCACAAATTGTTTAAAATCCTCTGCATTTCAGCTTGAAAATGAGGATAATAATAAGATAAAATAATAGAAAGAATTACATTAAATAAATTGTGAATAAAAACACCTTTGTATTTAGTGCATGGTGGTCATAGAACAAATGTTAGATGTCATTATTACTGTTAATTATTACTATCAATATTTTAATGATAAAGAATGATGGTAGCTATGAAGTACTCTAGAAATTAGTGATACATAAGTGATAATTAGTGATACATGATGAAAGATGAGATGTTAAGTGAAGGTGACACTGTTTTGTGCTAATAGCTAATTTTTTTATAATAATTTTAGGCTTGCTAAAAAAAGTTACCAAACTAAATACCACTGTACCTTCTAATTTGATTTATTCAAATCTTTTATATATGTACTTTCTGAAATCACTAACTCAAGAATTTTGGAATTATACATAGTAATTTATTGACATCTCTTGGAAATGCAATACTTCAACATAATAATGGATTTATTTCTAGTGGGCCTAATCAAAATTTGAAGTGTCTCTTATTATTCTGATATTTTATTTCTCACAGAAAAGATTATAGTCTTCCACCCTTGAAAAAAAATAAATGTTTTAAATTCCCTTCACAGGAATTGTAAGCAATGTCTTCACCCACACAATCTATCTCAAGCTGTACTTGACCAGTGTAAAACCTCATGTGCCCTCACAGAAGTGCATTATATGGAACAAACACCAGGTAAACCAAAGGCGCATAATCAGCGCACCAAAGGGTATCTGTAAAGGATCATGTTGCCCAAAAGTCCCCACAAAAACCAAGCAAAAGAAATGATTAATAACTTCAATTTTGATTTCATTATGAAACATTGCTTTTTTTAAAATAGCTCTATTAAGGCATCATGAACATACAAAAAACTGCATATATTCATGGATACAGTTTAATGACTTTGTGATTCTCTTTTTTAAATCTCCTAGAGCTGATATGCTTGAGTAGTTAGGTTTATCATCTCACCTTCACAGCTCTATTTCCATGTCATATATCCCCATGGAGGGGCATCCGAATGAATTGTCCAGAGAGACCTCAGTGGGCCAAAAAGATGGGTTCCCCCTATAGACTCATTTCACTAAGAAGTAGGATCTCTAGAGCCATTAGCCTTTAAACCTTAAACTTACTTTCAGTTCTGACTTTCCTCCACCTAGTCAACACTTACTCTCATGTTCCAGGTGAGGCCATAAAAATCTAAATAGCAGTCATTCGCTTTTGCAGTGTAGGCAATTCAAAATGGCTAGCCTTCCTGGTACTGATTCTGATATAAAGGCAGCTTAGGGGTGAGTAGCTATAAGTGTTGCAGGAGGAAGAGGGTGTGGAAGTTTTAGACTGAAGATCTTGGCTTAAAGCCCTTAGCATTATTAATTAAGAAATATCAGCCTTACTACAAAATTTCCCTGAGCTTCAGATTTCTTATCTGTGAAACTGAGATCCATCTCAAAGGGATATATGACATTAAATGACCCAGTGAACATGAAAGAAATACCTAAGGTAAACAATGGCACATAAATAGGAAAAACGTGAGGACTATGTTCTAAGACTATTTTTAAGCTGATAAGAAACAATAATATACTTGATTTAGCCAAAAGGCAGGCTACAAAGTAATTTTAAGGCTATTTTTTAAACAAAACTGTATTAGAACCCTAAATCTAGAACCCCACTTTGAACAGGTATAAGTAAGGTACACAATAAATTAGAGATTAAGCTTGAGATGCGATCACCATTGAAAACATTCCCACTGCTTCTACTGTTGCCAACCTCTCATCCAACCTGAAGGAAAAATTCCTACTCTTAGAGAGACTGTAGAGATGAATAAACTCCCTCCAGAGTTTTGTTCCCTTTCTCCCTTGCATCCACATTGGTCTTAACCTATAATGAACTTGGCTCCAAAATGAACCCCATGTGCTGCCAGCTGGGGCTGCAGCAATCACTTTAGAAAGCCAAGTGCCTTTCTAATAAATGGGGTCCTTATTATCAACATGTCATTTATTAAGTTAAGTAAACACTACTCTGACTTAAGTGTTGTTACAAACAGTATTTCCTTAAAACTCCTAAAGAAAGCCCTGGCCTGACTTAAACTAAAAAAAAGCATGGGCCAGACGTGTTTGTCCATCCGTAACATCACTGCAAAGTGCATGCAGATTTGAGCCTTCAGGATGTCCTCTATGCTAACCTGTTAGCAACACCTCTTAAATGTACCTCTAGCTAGAAGGCTCCTCTCCCCTGACAGCTATTGTGCAAGGAGAGGAAAAGGGCATTTGTTAGGCACCTCTATTATCTGTCTACTCAATCACACTTAAAGGGTCTTCTTTCGGTCTCTCTGGCTAAGCTCCCACCAGGCAAAAAGCCAGGAAGTGGGATCAAGCCACGTGCCCCTTCTGAGGATCTGCCTTAGTTGATTAAGTGGACTAAGTCAGCCAAGGGACATGACAGTCTGTCAGGACAAAAAAGCATGAGGATAGTTAACCTGAAGGCAGCTGCAGAAGATCAAAGGGCAGCACCTCTGAACATAGCATTTCAGGCTCTGTCTTCAAGAGATCTGTAACCATGCATGGCTTGCACTGGCATCTGGTATATCCATTCCAGTGATTAGCCTTGGTGTCTGCCTTTGACCTTCTTTCCAAGGTCCCTTATCACTGACCAAAAGTGAAATTTGACTCAAATAAATCTTCACACTTGGAGAGGGTCCCTTGCCCTTATCACTAAGTTCTTGTCTTTCTCAAGAGAATGGTTGGTCATCACTAGAAATTCAGACCCAAATCATCCATGATGCCCTGTTCTTAGTCATGGCAGGTCACCTCCCTAGAGGCCTTCTCCAGGAAGACTTGAACATTTAGATGAGGTCCCCAAAGTCTGCAGAATGGGTCAAGAGCAAATGCCTCTTTAGGCCAGGAAGTGATTTATGACTCTAGGGCAGCTAATGAGTTCTGTGGAATACCCACTATTGTGCAACATCATTACTCTAAGATTAGGGTAATACCTCTGGCAAGAGCACAGCCTGCAGATTTTCCAGTGAGAGTTTTGCCAAAGGTCTTGTGCTAAAACAGAGGTCTAACATGCCTCTCCTCTTAACACGGCTTTTTTTTTTTTTTGCTCTAGTAATTATTTGTGCTTAGAAAAATGCAGAATGTATTTTTGGAGGCAAGCAGAATAGATTTGGTTAATGGACAAGTAAAACTTTAATTAACAGAAAGTGAAGTGAGAGATTTGTGTATTCTCCCAATTTGGACACTCCTATTTCCTAGAGAAGTCATGTATAATAATAGTGAAATCTTACCCTGTGATTTCAGAGGAAATATTTATTTATCTATTAGAGTAGTGCTGATTTTAGCTTCTGCAGATGTTTACTTTTTTCCCATTGCTGGTGTGCAGCAAATGAATAAAAACACAACAAGGGAAACATATGCTAATGCCCAGAGCTGGTAAATAATTTTTTAAGTACTCTCTTCTACTTAGTGTTGAAAAGTATACACTACAAAAACCTGCCCTCTCACTGTAATGTATAAAATTGCATTTGTGCAAAGGTTTGGGCATATTCCAGCTAGTACAATTATAAAATCAAGCTGCAAAGAAATAATGTTATTAAATACTTTCATTGTGGCTATTCCCCAAAGGAAGGTTTTCTTTTGAAAATGTTTAATAACAAATGTGCAATAAAAATTAGAGTTTACTATTTTGAGTCAACAGTAATGTCAGTCCCCTATTTTGGAAATACCTCTGTTCTGTTAATTGAGTTATAAATGTCTCTGGTTCTGTTATTTGAGTTGTAAACATCATTTACTTAATATAATCCGTTGATTTACTCCTTCCAGCCTTTTAATCTCCTGCTTTGTTTGTTTTATTGCAGAATGTTTGTCTAGCCCAAGCTACTTGAGAATATTTTTCATCATATTCATAGTTACTTTCTTGATTGGGTTGCTTAAAGTCCTTATCATTAGACAGGTGATACTACAATGGAATAGCAATAAAATTAAATCCTCATCAGATTACAGAGTGTCCACCTCAAAAAAGGTCAGTGAATTCTAAGAAAAGAAAGACTATCAATATATTTCATCTAATTAATAGAATATCTTAGGGACTTGATTAATAATAATATTTCTTCTCCATCAAGGACAAATTGATTCTGCAAAGTGTTTGCACAAGAGCTGTAACCTACCGGCGTGAGAAACCTGAAGAAATAAAACTGGATATCAGCAAATTAAATGCTCATGAGACTTTCAGGTGCAACTTCTAAGCAAAGATAAAAAAAAAATTTTATGGAAAACTGGATTTTTAAAATAATTGCTCCTAAAAAATATAATTTTAAAAGTCACAGGAGGAGACAAATTGTTTGAGATCATGCCATTCCTGGTTGCTTACTGGCAAACATCCTCAATGTCATGTGACTCACACAGCTGCTGAATTTTCCAGAGAAAAATGTGTCTTACTACTGTTTAAGACTAGTGTCATTGTAGCACTTTACTGTAATATATAACTTATTTAGACCAGCATAGAATGTAGATCATCTGAAGAGCACTGATTACACTTTACAGGTACCTGCCATTCCTATGCTTCCCGTAAAGACAAAATGCGTGAGACAGGTTAGCATTGTGTCCTTACAAGGGTGCAGTAATAATTCCTGCACAGAACATGAAGATGAAAGTAATAGTCCAGCAGTTCCATACAAAAGTTGCCGAACAGTTTAACAATTGGCAGTGACTAGACAAGAACAACCAGACGAATAAATTATTAATGCTTCACTCCTTCAGGAAGTGAACAGATAGACTCTTAATATTAAGGGATATTGTTTCAAGACTGTGTAGTTTGATACATGTATATGTTTTCTTCTTTTTACAAAATGGATACTAATTCCAACATTCGCTCCCATTTTCATTTATATTTTGTTTTTTCCCTTCCAGAATAGTTTATTATATATGTGACAAATGACTGGACTAAATAAGTGCTAAGTTACTACTGCCATAAAGACCTATAATATAATGTCACTTTATTATAATACTGGTTTTAAAAGTTGAATGTTAATTAGGGACACTGTAAAGTACCATCTGAACCTGAATAGCTTCATTGTTTGAAGATGTGGAGTTTTATATCTTCTTACCTGGGAAACTGGATGGATTGTTTCACCATTTTATTTGTTTAATCTGTAAATTGAAATCCACAAGATATTTAGAAACTCTGCCTCAAGCAAAGTACCACATTTTTAATGAGTTTTCTTAGGTTTTGACTCCAAGTAGATATCAACATTTTTTCAAATGAAAAGCTATATTATTTTTGCCCTCAGTGCAGCCTACAAACATTCTTCTCCTGAATCACCCCAACCCTACTCACCAGAATTCATAAAAGGATAAAATTGGAGGAGAGTACACAATACCTTAAAATAAGCTAATTTTCCTCTTAGTTAGCCAGGGTACTGAGCCTCAGAAAGTTTAAATGATTTCTTAAAAAACACTTGAGTGACAAAGTGGCAGCATTAGAAAAAAGCTGTCTTCTAATTAAGAGTCCAGTGTTCATTGTACAATATCATGCTACCTCTTGAATCTTTAAAATATTCAATTGGCAAATAATTTAAATGTGATTTATTAAAGTCTTAAGTATATGAGCATGAGATAATTTAAAAGCAAAGTAGAGAACAGTAATTCAAACTATATTGTCCACAATAGGCTTCTAGTTTTTTCTGCCGGTCACCTTCTGATAAGAGACTGCTGCATCATAAGGACAGGGAAATCCCTTCAAACTATACCCTGCATGAACAGTGCCCCCTAGAGTCATGCACACTACTCAAGTAGAAGCCAGTGAGTTCTAATTTCCAACTGTCCTGTGTGCAATACAGAGTTATACTTACTACAATAAAGGAATTTACTTAATATATCATCTTATTATTAATTCTGCAGAATTTCTGTCTTTTAGCACTTGGGTGAAAATTCTAGGTATTTGAATCTTGATGAAGACTGACCTCCAACCTATGTCCTACCTAAAGAGAACAGAAAAACATGTAAGTCATTCTTGGGCCAACAAACACAGAAAGTCCATTAGCAGTCTTTTAAGGCAAAGCAGTTATGATGCTAACTTGAATTGCATCTGAATCCCCAAAGAAAGACTGATGACATTAGCATAATTCAGAATTGTGACTCACTTGTGTAAGAACATTGGTCACTAAAGATAATGTAAAAATTATATTTTGTTGTCTATTACCTGCAGCATCCTTTTATAAATAAATAAATAATAACTGATGCCTTGACAACTCCCCAAAAGGAAAAAGTGGAAGACAAGATATCCATTAATTAAAATACTGACAATGTAAAAATGAACATGACAATGTTTATGAATAATAAATTAATTTCCATATGGAATGAGCAAAAGAGCATAATTAAAGCGAAGATCTTCAAAACAAGGATTTATAGTTTTTAAACTCTTATTAGTTTGCACTAACTTCAAAATGAACCAAGGCTGTTATCACAGGAAGGGACAAACTTCCTGGTAGGCAATTCATTACTAAGTGATGATACGTAGTTACGTGTGGGATGTCTTGTGGTTTCTTTTTCTTTTCCTTTTTACTTAAAAAGCTAATTCTTAATGACTTAGGGCTTATATTTTACTTGAATAATTAATATTTTTCTCTGTAATGGTTTGTGAGAAAAGAATTAGTATTTGACCAGTTAGAACTTATTAAAAGGTAAGGGGAAACAGGGTATCCTTAGATTAAATAACATATAAATAGAGCCTATTTTCAACTCCTGTAACCACAGGAGCTTTTCAGACTCATTGATATTAAACACAATTAATTAAATTTTAAATTATTAACAAAATTAAGAACTTGAGCAACACTTTTGGTACGAAAGCACTTTTTGTGCTCTGAAGTATATAATGATTAAGAAATGTGCCATACATACACTACGACAAAACTGTATGCAACCTGTTTCTCTGGGATATCTTTACACTGCAGTGCACATGTGTTTATAGGTATTTGATATATTTTCGGAATTTTCTACTATTTATTAGGCCATAGACATTCTTTGGAAGACTTAAAAATTACCTAAAACTCTAATTATGTCCTAAATATTCAATTTAGCTTTGATTTATTAAAAAAAAATCTAAATATTTATGAAGGCAAATTTTTCAAAACTGAAAAAGTTAAAATTAGTGGATGTATCATATGCAACATTTCACCAAAAAATAAATCCCAAATATTTATAACATTTAATCTCCACTGAAAATATTCTTATATATAACAGCAGACATCTATGAGACACTGAAATATTTTATGCTAGAACTATGAGGATATAGAATATTTTATGATAAACTATGAAAAATATGGAATTATATTCCTCTTAGTACCTGGCAGAGTAGATTAAACTTCAATGGCTTTCTTTCCTTTCCTGACTCCTGTTTTTTCCACTTACTTTTCCCAAGCTATTGCCCAAAAGCTTCAAGCTCAATAAGCCTAATTGTGAAAAACAACATGTAATGATACAATTAAGTTCTTCATTTCCAAAGTTCTCTTGTTGATTTTAACATTTATTTGAATCCATGTCCCTGAGAAAAGACAGATCCATTAAAAGCTAAGAATATTTAAATTTTCACAACTGTTTGAACATCTTTCCATTTTGAGGGATTTAAGATTCATATGTTTTCATAAAAGTAGCAAATGAAATGTAATTACTTGGGAGCTCAGTCATGTGCATATTATATTCTCTTTTGTTTAGTCTTAATTAATTGACTATCCTTATCTATATTGACCTTAAGAACTCCATTTCATGCAAAGCAAACTTTTTCAAAGTGACATACAACTGCTCTTTCAAATGATTTTTTTCTTTTGTAATTCTTCCATAGCAAATTTACTATATGTGGCTGATATTAACATATCTATACATGTGTCTCCTTGATTCCAGAGCACACATCTGTAAAATTGTGATGTCTCTTGACATTGTTGACATTTTAGGTGCAGTGTTTAAAATTGTGCTTGAATAAATGTTACACTAATTCAACTTTAACTAAACATTCATAGGTATAGGGATATTCTTTTTCTTATAAATGTTTGTGAATTCAAATTATAGAGCCATTTTTCAGTGCAACTGAATCACATACAATTCATTGTGGAGCCTAACTGTCTGTCAGCTCAGATCCTGCGTATCAGTAAGTTATGTAAGCTCTTTTGGGCTCCTGTTTATATTTTATGTAATGGCCATCACCTCAGCAAACTTAACTGACAAGAATGGGTGGGTTTCTCCCACCTATGTTAATAAGTTTTTATTCTTCCTATTGCTTTCTAATGGATCCTTTGATATGATCATCTCACTTTTAAAAATTTAACTGGAAAAATTTACATGAAGCCATCATAATTAAATTTTACAACATTTTGTATGTCTCATATCAATGGCAGGAAAAAAGTGTAACACAACAAATCAGTCTTGTGGAAAGCAACTTCCTTCTCATGTCCTCCTACTATTTTATTTGTCCTAATCCTTTCTGTTTAGTTGATATTGTCCTTGACTCTGGTAAACTTCCCCTCAAGCCCATGTTGTAAAACTGCATATTTTAATTTTGTGAAATGATAGTTTAGCTCTCTGGGCAGCTTTTAATGAAATACCTGAGAGTAATAACACTACTCTTGTATCTACCTGAAATACCTTTCTACATAAAGTTTATCTTTGTAAGCTAACTCTTTTAATCAGGTTTCTAGCCTCTATAACCAACTTCATTTAAAATTGTCTAACACGACAGTATAGTAAAACCACTGCAATCATCAAGGATGGAAAGTGTGTGATTTGTGTAAAGAACTTTTCCCAGATTTACACAATCCCACATAAAATGTGATTTTGAGACAAATATGGTACATAGATTTTATTAAAAATGTTGATTATAAATATTGTAATTCTAAATTATAAGAAAGTACAAATTTGCACATATTAATATAGAAACTCATTTTGTGTATATTTAACATACCTTTAAAACTATTTTGCATTTGCCAGCTATTTTATTTAGGTTTTTTAAACCTCTGAAAGAAATTAGAAATGCTTTTAAATTATTGGTAACAAAACCTTATTTTGTTTCACTTAACATGTGCTGCCTTTGTAAAAAGAAATTTAATATAGAATGTACTTTTAAATTAAAATATTTGAATATAAAATAGCTATAAGAAATAAATTCTTACTAAACATGTTTTGTATTATTTCTGGCTTTGGATTATACATAAAGTTAAATTGCCTTAAATGATACAGGAGATTGAGAATATGATAGTGTCATGTAATGTACTATGAACCTGTTCACATGACTCTGATTGACTACTAACTTCTGTTTTATGTATTTATTAAAGAGCTGACACTGTAGATTGTTGTGAGATGTTTATTTTTCTAACAGAGCTTATAATAGTTATGACAAGGCATTTAATTAATATACCATTCTGTTTAAATGTAGCTGTTAATAGATATAAAATTTTATGTTTTGAAATAAAAATGTAAAGTTCTAAGAATATGCAGAATGTTTCTTTATTTACTGTATGTGTCATGACCACCAAGACTGACAGACAATGAGAGTTGCCACTTGAGAAAATGTAATAGCATCCAAACATTGTCAGTGGCAAAGCTTGTTACATAATTAATAAAACCTACTTCTAGACCTTGTAGGGCCAACGACGAAGAGGTTGGGCCATGCTTATCACCCATTTCCCTTTTGATAGCTACTCAGTACTGGGAACAAAAAGAATATCCTACTGGCAAAGAACTGAAAAATTATCTAAATGTTAAAACAAATTTTTCTACCTTCAAGAGACTTCTACCATGAAGTATGGTACAAATCTTGATCCCAATATAGCACGTTTATACTTGAATTGTACTTTCTAGAGTCATACTTAAACTCTCATATGTTACAATTTTGCTTTATTTAACCTAGGGGAGAAAATAAAGCAAAAGGGTAGGGGATATGGTAAACATTAAATAAGATATTTAGACAGAGTCCCTGTCCTTAAGGAGCTTTTAAGAGTTTGAATAAGAGTTGTACAGGAAAGGTCAGACAGAAGCTGTCAG